GAATTGCTGCAGCGCACCAGAGAAGACACGAGACGGTCAGCAGAGCCGCAGGAACACGAGGTACAGGAGGCAAGCAGATGATGTACGTGCCAGGTACGTTTTTGGCAAGCTTTGTGTCCCAGGGCAGCCTCAGCTCTGTGGGAGTCTGAGGCTTTGGAGGAGTGAAGAAGGTTCTGCTGTTTTATCTTTCCTGGTAAGCGTTTACAGGGAGGACGAGGACTGTGGGAAGGTGATGTTCCCCTTTCTCCTCTTGCTACCCATCGGTATTTTTGCTGGTGGTTGGAACAGCAAGGAGGTGTCAGAGCAGGAGGCCAATGCCCTTTTAAAGACAAATACTGTCATTAGTTAGTCACTGTGGATGGTGAGTAGCTTTCTGCTTGGTGTTTATGATGGGTTGGTCTCCCACAAATGAGCCTGACTGGTCTTCTGCAAATGCACTGGGAAGTGCCTTGTTTTCACTGCGGCTTCTGAAACACAGCTCGGTACTTTGCAGCAATGTACAGCAGTGGTTTTGAAAGGGAAAGATCTTGCTGAGTCTTTCTGGTGTACAACTTTAAATATGTATATTAAGAAAAATGTCTCCCTCTTTTAATTCCTGAAATTCTACGTGGCCATGACTGGACTGGTGAGCTTCTGATTAGGGTCAAGACAACGTCTCTTTGGTAACTGAAGGTCAGGCCAGTACAGGCACTCCTGTGAGCTGCAGCTCCAAATTGACAGTTAAGCAAAATATTCCGTTTTCTTTGCCAGCTGGAGCAAGCCCTTGTTTTCAGCTCATTTGCTCTTCAGCAGACCATGGATTTTTCTAGGAACATCAGCAGATGCCGATCACGAGGGGCTGCACGGTCGAAAGTGGGAGAATGCTGGGGGACCAAAGAACATTCTTACTCTCCTCCCTGGGGACAGTTGCTCCCTGCCACAGCAGATGCAATCCTTTTTAGTCCGTGACCCACTGAAAAAGCACAAGTTTTAACTGCGGTTCCCACAGGAACCGCGCAAGAATGTTGGGTTGTTTTCTTTTTTTCCCCCCAAGTTGTGGGATGAAGGGATAAATATGTAAGTGCTTTTTAAAAGAAGAGCTATATGAGGATTTGCTGATTCTTTTCGCATGGGCCACCGAGGAGCCAATACGTGGTAAATCACATTCAGCTGTGTGCACTCCCCCTCCCCTGCCCGTGGCCTGGGTTTGGACTGGTGCCCTAGAGATGAAACGCTGATGCTTCCTGCCCTGCTGCACCAGGGCTAACTCTCCTCTTCAATGTGGCAAATATAGCAGAGAGAACCATTTAGGAATAACTGAAAGTAACCCATAATGTTAACAGTGCTGAATAAAGGGGAGGAGAGCATGCTAAGAATAATCCATGGAAGAGAAAGTATTTATTTTTGAGCTAAAACTTGCCCGTGGGAATGTAGCCATATGTTGTGCATTGTACGGCGGCCTCACTTTAAACATCTTGACAATTAGGATTGAAAAGAACAAAGCAAGACTGAGGTGATTTAACAAGGGAAGCGTGTCGTGTTGTGCAGATGATCCAATCCTTTATGTTCTCCATAGTCTCTAGTTGTAGGCTTTATGTTTAATTCACTCCCTTCTGACAGCTCTTTAGGGTTTGCTTTTTCATGTAACATTTATTGCAAGTAGAGAGCTCAAGATGCGCATCCCTGACTGCTTAGAAAACCCCAGCTCCCTGTAAATGATACCCAGGTCCTGGTCACTGCTGGTAACAGCCTGAGGACAAAGCAGAGTCAGGTCTGTACCCTGCCTTCCTTTCCTGTTCCCCATTACAGCAGATGGGTTCCCTCACAGTGTAATGTGTTCCACTGCTCTTAGACACTGTGCAGAAACCAAAGCCAGGAATGTTTCTGTGTCCAAATATAGCCGGGATGACAGCTCCTGCCTGGTCTCCAAACCAAATATCCGCACTTGAGAACCTGAGACCTCTCAAATGCATCGGAGCTGCGAAGTCGCAGCTCTGTGCTCATATAAAAGCAGTCCTTTCAGGGGCTTGGGCTGCTTCATAAAGCATGGAAAATACTTTCAGCTCTTGGAAAAGACAATATAGAGATAAAACTTCAGAGTTCTGACTAACTTCTTGCCCTTGGCTCCCAGAAGGGAGTCTGGGGAGTTGTTTAATGCATCTGAAAGAGGCTTAAATTCTGACAAGTGCTGTAGGTTGGAGACCACTGATGGCTGCGTCTGAGAGTCCTTTAAGCACAATTATCTCTTGGAAAAGCCATGATATTCTTAATTCAGGGCAGGGAACAGGGATGAAATGTCAACAGATGTGTACTCTGGTCCTAATAATTCTTAAAATATCTACAGAAGAGGCCTGTCCTTGAAATGTAACATATAAAGAACTAAGTATAAACTTGAAATTTCACTTTTTAGCAGCAGCAGCACTGAGGATTCTGGCCACAGCCTGTGTGCCAAAGACTCCAGATGCAGTGACTTTATCAGAAGTGTTGGTGTGCACAGCGTTAAGTTCATGGCTCTCCCTTAGCTCCGCAAGTTGTGTCTGTCAGTTCTGAATACCTCAGCATAAGAGCTTTCCTCATCTGACTCTCATTGCCTTAATAACTGAGGTTTGTCTTGGCCTTATTGCTGGGCTGGTTTCTGAGCAAATGTTTGGCTTAAATTTTTAAAGCTTTGAAAGCATTTTGCAGCCAGTGGTTTGGTAAGGTTGGGTGTGCAGGCACTGAATTTCTACATGGATGGATGGACACAGCGCAGTCCCAGTGTACAGGGGCAAGTGAACTACGTGCTTTCCAAGAAACCCTGCTCTTGTTTCTGATCCATCAAGGTATAACCTGCTGGCTACCTTCACAGGGAAGCAGGATCCTAAATGTCACAGGTCATGAATCATCTTGGCAGCTAAAGATTCCCATATATTTTTAGTAAAATAAGAATTTCTTTACATTAGGACAAAGGAAATTTCTTTTGGCTGTGTGATTGTGTGAGTTCTCAGTTCTCAGTCTGCGCTTTTAAGTAGTCATCTTTAGAAACAGCAAGGCACCAACTGGATGCTTGGAAGGCTTCGGGGTCCTGCTCTGCCTGATTCCAAGCCTGACCTCCAGTGAGTCTTTTCTCCCACACAGTACGGCCTTAACCTCTGAGGTGCAGCTGTAGCACTGCCCTGCCTTCAAGATTGATGGGAGATTAAACGCTCTGAGAGGCTGCGAGGTGCTCAGGATATCTGGCAAGTGGAGAGGGCATATGTAACAGTGCATAAATTAAAATCTTCAAACACTGCTGACTCTTAGTAGCCGTCTGAAAGTTGGATGCACTTCATGCTGTTACGCAGTTCCATGACTGAAACTCAGTGTTCTTCCAGCCCTGTGTTTGCTTGCAGGGCTTTTCTGTCGAGCCAGCTCTGCTTCACTGGAGAAGAGCTCTTGGCTGGAGCTTTTGAGCCCCCTTCCAAGGCAGGCTTTTACTTCGAGACTCCCTTCTCAGTCTCCCTTCCTGCAGGTGCATTCTCATCTGTGGACTCCGACAGAAACTTGCTCAGGTCCTAAACCCGTTGTTACTGTTCTGTCACTTCATACAGTGGTCTGCAGCCTAAACCACAAACAGAGGTGAATTTGCACCACTCTTTGGAGCTCTAAACAAAGCACCTTGTATAGCTGTCCCTGGAAAATTGCAGCTAACAGCTGAGATGGGCCAGTATCCCGCACTGCTTTGGGCCACAGGAGTTTGAGCCCTGTCCCCTTGCCTTCTGCCCTTCTTCCTAGTTCCAGCTTTCCTTTGTAATTCAATCCATAACTTCCTGCCGTGTTACTCCTTATTCTGTCCTGGTATCTGAACAACTGCTGCACTTTGTCCACTCTCTGCAGAAGATGTGGTTTTTCTCCAGGGAGGAGCTTGGTGAAAACGGCAGAAGAAGATTTTTGTGAAATTGCCCACGGTCTCATTGGTCATATTCATTCTGAGTTGCTTAAAAGCTTCAGGCCAGCTTTAGTCTGAAACTATGGGAAACGTAGATAATGAACTAGGGAAAAAAATTCAAATGAAACCATCTTTCATTATTATAAAGAAGTTTCTGAAGCCTTTCAAATGCTTCAGATATCTCCTAGGAATACTTTATACTGGCTGGGGACAGAACTACCCCTTCCCTGCCCTTTGCTTGTGAAACTGGGAGATCACCCAGTTCCTTTTGCTCTGTCTGGTCAGAGCTGGGGACACCCCGCCTCAGGAACGCTGAGTATCCAGCGCCCAGTGACCAGACACACAAGTGCAGCTATTTCTGAAAACCTGAGAATTTCTGAGTAAGCTTTTTTAAAAAGTCCTGAATTGACTTCGTGTCTGCAGCCTGGAGGTGCCTTAGGGAACCAAACAGCTTAAGGCAAAGTGACCACTTTTCCCAGTCAGTCTTGCTGAGGGTACCCCACATCATGATTCCAAAAATCCTTGTCTTTCTCTGCATGATGACCCCTTACTGGGTAGCTCATGAGAAATTTGCAGGTCACTTGCCAAGTCTTATGGAAGAGGGGGTTGATGTTTGCTTTTATCTGAGTTTGTAAACTCTCAGACCAGAATTTCCTAAAGCTGAGAAGCGCTGCCTGCTCTCCCCCAGCGTCTCATCTTTCATTCTGCAGCTGAAGGCAGCCCCAGAGAAATGACAGCTCTTCTAGCGCTAAGCATCCCTAATGAAGCATTCCAGGGCCATGATGCTGGCTCCTGGATTCCTTTTTCTGCCCCCTCCCCCAATTTTTTTTCATTACATAAAGCTGACAACTGCAGATTTGTCCGCTGTTGATTATACAGTCAGTTAAAGAAAAGAGTTCATGGCCATCCCAGCTTGTTTCACTTTGCTGCTTTTCCTCCGCCAGCCCAGCTTTCAGCTGCAGTAACACGATCCCACTTGGCAGAGGCTGAGAGAATCTCTGGCACATTGGAAAGAGGCTTAATGTAAAGTCTACTTTTTTCCCCCCCCTATTTCTTTAGAGCTTTTTGAAACTCTAGCGGTTCTGCACAACTTTGGCGGTGACTGCAGGAAATGCTCCAAATGCAACTGTGAGCAAAAGGATTCCCAATGCATTTGGTGAGGACGATGTCTTAGTGTCTGTCACATCTCCCTCTAAAAAGTGTTAAGGAACAACATGGATCGAATGGAGCAGCTTTCTGCAAGCAGAAGGAAGAGCTTTCTCTCGGTTGACAAGAAAAAGAGCAACGGCTGTAGAACCGTTGTGGGATTTTTGTGCTTATTCCCTGCGGTGGCTTTGCTGGCTATTGTGGGAGATCCAGCTGGAGCTGCTTTTTTAGGGAAAGGGGTTTAATTCTCAAATGCTTGAAAGGGGGAGTGGAGACATCAGATTATATGTGCATGTGTATTCTTTTTAGAAGAAGGATAAATTCAGGAAGCAATCAGACCAATGTGTAAGTAACTGGTAAGGCAATAAGATCTGTGTGTGGCTGTTTGAGTCCCTTTTTGCAGAGGATCCTCTGCAAAATTATGCATCCAGGTAGAATCAGATTATCAGAGGTGTGCATGAATCCACAAAAGATTTGGGGTGTTTTCCCTCAGAGCTTTGCTGGCAGTACCTCTGCTTTCCCAGCCTGGTACGATGTGGCATGGTTCTGATTTCTGTCACAGCTGAGCTTTCCTGGGAGCTCCAGAGGCAGAGCTCGTGGTGTAAGATCTACACTGGGATGTAACACCGGACCTACAGAAACTGTTGGCTGATAACTCTCTGTCAAGGTCTGCCCATTAGCAAGATACACTGGGACAGACCCAGTTCAGGGAGAACTGGAGCAAGGCTCTGGGACTCTCAGAAGCTCATCTTAATTTTTGCTTTTAGCTTAATTTTAGCTTTCATTTTATAAAAAGCCAATCTTTAAAGTGCTCGCATCCTCTCCTGCTGTTTGTGTCTATGAAGATCCTGGCAATAGTGCCCTTGTTTGCATCACATGCTTAGGGCTCTTATTTGGTGGTACCAAGTCACTGCGTTGTGTTACTGTTTGTTTTTCGAGAGGGGAACTGCATGATTAGGGCAGAGAGGGGAATCAGTTACATTCATTACAACTTAGTGAAGTAAATTAATGGAGGTGACTGCACAGGGTGAATAATGTAGAGCAGGGACATTGACCAGTGTCTGCTTTTATCGTTAGATATGTTGGTGTTTATTGCAGTTGTGGAGAGAGTTGAAGTTGAGTCCTTCTTGGACCTACCTTATTGAATGTTTGAGACCTTCACCCACAGTCGAGCGGGTTTCCACCTGGGAGCAGCTGTATTCCCATATGAGTATTCCCATAGGCTTGGTTCTTTGGCATCCACACAGATCCTTTGATCCAAATTGCACTGTGAAATTTTTAACTGGGTCATTCTGTTTCTGTCAGAATCCTGCGTCTGAGCTCCAGCGTTTGTGTGGTACCCCACCCTTCCCCAATTCATCTTGCAACATGGTCTTAATTGAAAGCATCCTCTTGTCCCCGTGGTTGATAGAACAGACTGGGGTAGGACAGAGACTGAGCCAACTCCTCAGCCAGATCCCTTCATACAGCAAATGAGCAAATTTGCTTCTTCCAAGAGCAAATTTGCACCTGGAGGCTCCCAGCAGTGCGATCAAATGCTCTGCTTGTAGCTTAGAAGGCAAATAGTAGTTAACATCTCTCTGACTTGTAGGTGATGCTCTGTGGCGCTTGCATTTCTAACGTTCAAGAACCGCTGACTTCAAAGCGTGAGTCAGACCTAGGGCTAAGCTGGAAGATTAAAGGCTGTCCTTCTAGGAAAGCAAGCTGCTGAGATTAGGACAAGGTAGAAGCTGGTACGGCTCGCAGACATGAGCAGAAGAGACTGCTTTCCTGTTAGGATCAAGTCCCTCAGCCTTTTACCAGTCGTGGCGAGCTGTGGGCATGGGGAGATGCTGGTGATTTGGGCAGTATCTGGCAGCCTTTGCTCCATGCTTCTTGTCTTGTCTTGCTGTTGGCTTGCTGCGAGCCCAGGGATGGGCTGTTTTGCCTCTCAGAGCCTCAGCTCTTCCATCAGTAAAACGAAGCCAGCTCTTGCTTTCTGTAGAATGTGCTGTGAAGCTGAACAAACTCGTCCTGGTGCAGCTTTTGTAACGTTGCCACTGTAAATATCACTTAGTGAGCATCTGATGCCTCTGGAGCAAATGTGACCCAGGATATTCAGTGTCTCAGTCCTGAAAAAGGGAGGCAGAGCGGGTAGAGAGCCGTATTGAGTCCCATTCTTTCGTTTCCATTGCTCAGAACTAAAAAGCTTTTATAGTTTGAGTCAGACCTGTCACCAAATTTTATGTCTTTTACTGTATGATGGCTTTAAAAGCACTCCAGGGTTTCCAGGGCTTCTGTTTACTTTGAAGGAATTTCAGATCCGCAATGCAGCTTTATAAAGAGCGATCTGCACAAAGCGTTGCCTGTTTTACTCATTTGTCCAGTACTTCACTTCTTCTGTGGTGAGGCTGGAGAGCAATAGCAAAGTGAAAAGGAAATGAAAACTTTCCAGGAAGAGCTGCAGCATTCACTGTGGCCAGGAGCCTCCGGAGGCCTCATTTCTGCTCCATCTGCACCACACTCCAGGAGTGGAATTGCACAGCAGCTCGAGGGAGCCTACAGCACTGACCCCTCATCCCATGTTGAGGAGTGCTGCTCCCTCCCTGTCCTTGCACGTCTGATCCTGCCCCATACCTGACAGTTTTATGCTGCTCAACCCTGCAGTCTCCCATCTCTTTAACCTCCTGTTTTGTCTTTTAAGGAAGATGCCCCATCACCTGCTCTTCGTGGAGCGAGTGCTTCTGCTTTGCACAGTCCAGCTTTCCTGCCTCGGCCTCCAGCACGGAGAAAACGGTACACGATCACGCCAGCGCACCTGAAATGGGACCACTTCAACCTGACGTACAAGTACGGGCTTGCATCCACCCCAGCAGTCAGCGTTTTCTAAGTGACGCTGGGTTTTTCCTGCCATGGGTGTAGATATTAACCATGTGAACACGGCCAGTCCATTTGCTAGTGAATGGATAGCTGCTAAAGACATTGTAAATTGGAAAGTATTTGTATATATTTGTATATATATTTGTATTCTATAGATGCTACACCTCACCTCAGCTGTGGATCATGTGAAGTGTTGTCACTCTGTTAGAGTCAGTAGCACATATGGCTGCACACTGAGGCTACTCATACATAGTAAGTTTAGTTCAGGAGCAGACTCAGGCTTCAGGCAAACAAGGTTCCCTTCCTCAGAAGGCAGTGAATTGGGTATCAGCTCTGTCATGCTGGTATTTTTCAAAGAGCTCTGTATGAACCTAAATCATCACTGAGGGAAACTGCTGTTGAAGGGTGCTGTGGTTTCAGGAGGACAGAGCTCTGTTCGTGCCCAGTGCTCTCAGGAATCCTTTTCTTCCTGTTGTCTTTGGGACTGGATGCCAGCTCTTAGATTACCAACAAATAAACAGTGTAAAGCCCTTGGCAGTTCTGGGGTGAGTGAATGTTAATTAACCCTAACGTTTTCAGGCATTTCTGCCAAGGAAGGTGTCTGTCCAGGTTACTGATTTCCAGCTGGGTTCACCCCTGCTCAGAACCAGCAGCATTTCAGCAGTACCATACAGCCAGATCAGGGGGGTTTTCAGCATCTTATGTGATTACCAAAATCCTTTTAATGTGGCTGCTAACTGCAGCCACTCCTGACTTCAGAGGACAGAGCAAGCCCCAAACCTGACCTCTTGAGAGCTGCAGTCACTGTTGAACCAAGGCAGGAGGAGGAAAATCTCGGTCACCAAATGCAGGTCAGGAAGGGAATTGGCAAAGTGTGGCTGGTGCTGCAGTCACCTCTGTGCTCTCGGTAGCTGGTTACACCACCAGTCACACAGAGGTCTGGTTGTACCTGCCACTCGTCCCTAACAGCCTAAGCCTCCTAATAGTCTTAATTGTCCAGGTTTATGCTCACTACAGCCTGGCTTGATACAAAACCTTCTGCTCCCTTTAGGATGTGCTGGGACGGAGGGAGAACATAAACAGCATAGCTAAAATACAACCAGAGGGGATAGCAGAATATACACAGCTTTTCCCAATTGCTACACTTCAGGCAGTTTCCTGAATGCAGATCTTCTTTTGGGACAAGGTAAGTTCCTAGGAGCCATTTCCATGGTCCAAACAGGGGTTCTGCCATTCAGCTGGATCTGTACCTGTGGCCCTGTGAACCTCTCGTGTCTCTCTCCCAAGTGATGAGATTTATTTTTCAAAGGAAGTAACTTGTTTGAACATCAGACCTTTGATATTCTTTGTAACTCATAAAGTTCTGCCTGAGAGGATCACAATTCACTGTGTGCACACGCGTTGTAGCCAAAATGTTGTGATGGGAGTTGCCTGCTGCTGAGGTGCTGGCCTCTGCCAGCAGCGCCGCACAGCAGAATGGGAGATGTAAGGATAAAAAGAGTTTTCCAGGAGAACCTTGTCTAAAATGATGTGCTTGAGGAGGCGCAAAACCATGAGATTTAAAAGCATATTGGTGATATATCAATCCCTGTGGAGGTTTTATTAAATAATACCCAGTTCAAGCTGTTCCTGTTTTGAACCTATTAGAGTGAATGGAAAGACTTGATTTGTCTGCAGCCATGAGAGCCCTCAGCTGCCCTTTGAGAAGGGAAGAGCATTTTCCTGAAGCTGTTCTGTGTCCCTGCAGGATCCTGTCCTTCCCAAGAAACCTCATAAGTGCCAGGGACACACGCAAGGGCCTGGCAGCTGCTTTCCGGATGTGGAGCGAAGTTTCACCGTTCAGCTTCAGGGAAGTGCCACGCCACGTCGCCAGTGACTTGAAAATAGGTGAGCACGGCCTCTGGGCTGATGGGACGCTGTTGTTATTATCAAACCTCCAAATCTGCCACTGGGACAGGATTATCTCTGTACCACAGATGGGGAAATTGAATATTGAAAGGTGAAATGCCATAGCCAAGGTCACACAGAGCCAAAGAGCAGGGGATGGAGCCCAGCTGGGTTATGGCTTTAGTTGATCTGTTGGTCCTGTTGAAGCACCATCTTTTCTCTGCCCTCTCTCTCCTCCCCTTCCCTCTGCCCCTGTATCACTGCAGAAGTTACTTCCCGAGTTTCTTAGGCCTGGAAAGATGTTAGTGCCGAGGCGTTATCTGCTCAGCCTCAAGCCCAGCTGTCAGTTCTTCCTGGGATTGATGGTCTGTGTGAAATAATGACTTCCTGTGCAGATGGCAGCAATGCTGAGATAACCAGCAGATTTACCATTGTTTCGCAATGTGCTTTGCACTCTCATTTTATGTGACGCCACTGACAAGCACATGATGTGCCTCCCCTTCCCAGGGGCCTGTCCTGCTGCCACGTGAGCTCCAGGTGGCCCAGTTCCAGTGGACACTGGGTACACTGGGATGCTGTCATCATGCTAGGTCACGCTAGCAAAAAGATGGCGAGCAGCTATGACTCTAAGGCCACCTGTTTATTTACCTTTAAAATAGAACAATTACATGCTGGGGTTATCTCACTGTCCAACTTCTCTCCAAAAAAAAAAGGATTCCATGTGATGTTGCAAAAAGAGCTTGGTGTTCATTTCCAAAAGGAGACTCGTGGCCATTGGAAACAGAATCCCAGAATGTCAGGAGTTGGAAGGGACCTGGAAAGCTCCCCCAGTGCAACCCCTGCCAGAGCAGGATCACCAGAGCAGTCACACAGGAACACGGCCAGGGCTTTGGGTGTCTCCACACAAGGAGACTCCACAACCTCTCTGGGCAGCCTGGGCCATGCTCCATAACCCTCACACTCACAAAGTTTGGCCTCATCTTCAGCTTGAACCTCCTGTGCTCCAGCTTGGGACCATTGCCCCTTGTCCTGGCATTGGCCATCCCAGAGCAGAGCCTGGCTCCTTCCTCCTGACACTGCCCTTTCCCAATGGATCCCCAGGAATGAGGGCACCCCTCAGTCTCCTCTGCTCCAAGCTCAAGAGCCCCAGCTCCCTCAGCCACTCCTCAGCAGGAGATGCTCCACTCCCTCCAGCATCTCTGTGGCTCTGCAAAACAGCTCCAAATCCAGAGTCATCACAGGGCTGAGTAGGGTTTGCATCATGTAGCAATCACTCCTGGATTTATCTTTCATTTTGTGGCTCTGTAGGTTGGAAAGCATGGGATACCAGAAGAGGGTTGTTTTTTCCAGCAAACCACAAGCTTACAGACAGGCTTACCCTGCTGGATGCACTGACGCTGCTTTGTTTCTCACAGGCTTCTACTCCATCAATCACACAGACTGCCTGGAGTCCCTCATTCACCACTGCTTTGATGGGACCACGGGGGAACTGGCCCACGCCTTCTTCCCACCCAACGGGGAGATCCATTTTGATGACCACGAGTACTGGATACTGGGGAACACCCGCTTCAGCTGGAAAAAGGGTAATGCACATCGTCAGTGGCTGTAGGATTTGGATTTTAGTCCTTGCTCTGGGATTTACCTCGCGCAGAAAGAGACAACAGAAACAGCTGTGATTTTCTGTAGCTTCGGGAGTTGTGGTGTTGCTGTGATGTGACTGAACTGCTGCAAGGGACCGTGTGTGGTGGCTGTGCCATTTCCCGCTGATCCATTTGGTGGTGGTACTCGATAACTCAGCCACATACTCAGTGATTACGTCTGGCTTCTGCCCAGGTGCATCTCTGAGAAGGGCCGTGTTTTATTACTTCAATTTGCTGGCACGGCTGTTTACATTTTAGTTTTCCTGGGTCATTTTGGGGTTTGCGGGCACCTAAAAATGGCCATGTTGGTTACCCCTCGGTGTTTTCTTCTTGATTTTAAAGTTAGTTTTGACATTCCTTTAAACAATTAAAAGCAGATGGTCCCTGACTAACTGGCAAATCCAGTTCATGTTATATGACCAACTCTGTACTTGTTTGAAAGGAAGATCTTTTTTCACTAAATATAAAGAGAGGTGGGGAGATTTTAGGTGACATAGAGAGACTCCTATCCTTGCTTTCCAAAGCATGGCAACAGAGAAGAGCTAGGGACAAGGACCTAGGGGAGGTGGTTTTGAAAGCAAGCGTGTATTGATTTATTAAGTGAGGTATTAGGAAAGGTGTCAGCAGTGTGTCAGCTGGAGCAGAGCTGTCCTTCACCCCACAACACCGCCTGTTTCTCCATTTCTCCTCCAGGTGTTTGGCTCACGGATCTGGTCCACGTAGCAGCTCACGAAATAGGGCACGCCTTGGGGCTCATGCACTCCCTGAACCCCAACGCCCTCATGCACATCAACGCCACTTTGACCGGGAAAAAGACCATCTCTCAAGATGAGGTCTGGGGAATCCACAGGCTTTACGGTAAGGAAGCCAGGGCTGTGCTCTGGGCTCCTCTGGGGAAAGAGCATCAGGCTGAAGCGTCAGCTGGATCCTGGGGAGCTCCTGGGGTGTTAAACCCTCATCGTTTGGCAGGACAAGGCTGTAAGCCAGCGAGCAGGAGGAATCTTCCTCCTTTGTATGCAAAGTAGAGCCAAAAGGAGGTGCAGTGTTGTGTTTCCAGCACTGCTGGCTTTAAATGTGAGCAATTTTAGCTGTAGAGTGCCCTGAATTTGTAGTTTTGCAAGCATCAGGAGCACAGAGGGAAAGAAACAGAAGAAAAGTCTACCCCAATCCCCCTAATGCCTCATCTCCTTCTGTTTCAGGATGCAAAGACAGGTTATTTATGTGCCCATTATGGGCACAGAAAGGTTTCTGTGAGAAACGGAGGAAGCTGATGAAAAAGCACTGTCCATCCACCTGTGACTTCTGCTATGGTATCCGACTTTTCTTCTGGGATGTTTGGTGGGGAGAGGAGGTAAAGGTTAAGCGGTGTTTGCTGCAGGGAGAGGCAGGATCCCAATTCCACACCAGCGATCAGTGGACGCAAGCGCTTGGCCCCATCCAGCTCTGAGGAGCAGCACAGCAGAGTTGCCCTCTTTGAGCCAAGATCAAGGCTTGGAAAGAGGAAGCAGCTTTTATGTCTGAACATTTGTGGACCAGAGCACTGAACTGTCCCGTTCTTCTCCAGTTTAACTAAACCACTGCTAGGGAGTTCCTGAAAACCCAGCTCCTCCGTGTGCCTCATCCCTTTTGGACCCCACGGGGCAGTGAGGTGCTGGTGTGTTAAAGTCAGAGCTAAGAGATGCAGTGATGGGACATAAACAAGACAGACGACATCTCGGGCACAGCTGGACTTGAGCTGCTCTGCAGAAAAGGAGATAAAGGATGTTAATCACCTTATCGAGTCTGTTTTACGAATCCAGATAAGGGCCTAATGCAGGATCAGCTCAAGTTACTGCAGCGTGGAATTAAGCTTTGTATTTATCCATCCTGACCCCAAGATGCTGTGCTGTATCACTGGTACCTCTTCTTCGAGTGCAGAGGTGTTTTTGTTAGACCAGATTAATGCAAAGACGCAGTCTGATAATTACAACCCCAGCTGTTCTAGGGGACTGTTCATTAACTGAACGTGTGCTCTTTCTTGTATATGGAGTGGGCAAGTTTACCCATCTCTGTCAGTTTACATGCCACAGATCTCTCACCTTTGCACATGCCTGATGTTAGATCTATCTGAGGACTTCCTCAGTAGGAGGCTTTTTAAAATTATTAATCCTTTTAAGGTTCCTCAGGTGGTAACGCAATTCTGTGAAGCGTTTTGGGAAAGCTTGGTACTGCGCTGTGCTAACCCTGGCCATTTCTTTCCCTCCCTTCTGGGGGACAGAGTTCCCATTTCCAACGGTTCCCCCGACGCTGCCCCCGCCAAGGACAAAAACCAAGACTGTTTCTGAGGGCAGGAACGTCACCTTCCGCTGCGGCCAGAAGATCATCCATAAAAAAGGCAAAGTTTAGTAAGTGCTCGGTCGTTTATTCCAGTCCTTCAGGAGCCTTTGCAGCTCACCAGAAAGGGGGAGGACGGATGACAAACCAGCACAATTACAAACGCAGTTTCTCTTCTGGAGCACATCACTGTCTCACTGGGCACCCAGAGCAGAACGAGGGGTGCCTGGTAACTGCAGGCACTCTGCAAATATTATTTGTAACATTGCAAAACCCAATTTACAGACACAGCACAGAGAGAATTGTTAGCATCATCAAATTCCCTGGCCCATATTCTGCAAAAAACTAGTGTCTTATGTCAATCCTTTTAATGGGTTGGTAGCTCTTACTAACAGAGGAGCATGCTGTTTCTGGATGTATCTAAAATTGAGAGAGAGATTCCCCAGTCCCTGAGTTTAGACTGAGTGATGGGAATTTGGGTCTATTCACAGTAAGATTCAAGCTCCTACATTACTCAGAACGGTGCTGTGTTGTAACTGCCATCATCTACCTGAAAGATACAGCAAAAATTATCCCTGTTTTGTTGTGTGTTGTACACTTACTCAGCACAACTTACTAGGAGAAAGAAGAGCCACTCACACGAGACATTGCGTAGTTTAATTTCTGTTGTTTTTCTTTCGACAGCTGGTACAAAGACAAGGAGCTGCTGGAGTACTCGTATCCAGGTTACCTATCCTTAAATGAAGATCACATGAGCATCATTGCAAATGCAATTAATGAAGGAACTTACACCTGTATAGTCAAGAAAAAAGAAAGGATCTTGACTACTTACTCCTGGAGAATCAGGCTGAAGCACTGAATGAACACTTCAATGACTGCTAGTGCTGTTTGAAATTTCAATGTTTCTTTGGCATTTTATATTTAATCCTCAGTAGCGCAACTGAACTTCTAGATCAGCTGCTTCCATACCTTGGGCAAGAGAAAGACTTGATTACTGGAAAATAAAACTTTTCCAAATCAGCTTTAATGATAAATTTATTGAGTATGTGCTGTGCAGAGAATTTAAAAAAATTAAAGTCAGATTTTGCAGCTAAACGATGTGGATCACTGCAGGCTGCTGCACAACAAGAACTCTTCATCAACCCCACGGATGAACAGCGACGGCTCGGCTGTGCTGCGCGGGACACAGAGGTATTGTGGAAGGAGAAGCACCGCTGATACCTGTGAGTGTTTTGCTGTTGTTTTATGAGATCCTGGTGCGTAGCAGTGTAAGTGTAGAGTGAAAAAGCCAGTATTACTTTTCCTTGTCCGCAGGAGGACGTAAGGTCACAAGAAGCCCTTTCCAGTTTCTCCATTCCACATTTTGACACATTCAGGCCAAGCACACACACACACCACCTTTTCCCTCAACTACTTTCCTGTGGTTTGTATTTGTTACTCGTGCAATCTTACCCCAATAGACCATTTACCTCCACCAGCAGCTCCTCCTGACTCGTCCTGCAGGCGCCTGGCTCCTTCAGCAGAGATGAGGAGATTTCCATCACTGTCCTCCCATCACCCAACCCAGGAGGTAAATGTGCCTCATCCAACAGGAAAACAGCATTGGTGGTGGTGGGCAAAGCCTGGGGCGCTTGCGTGTCTGCAGTGTTCATTTGCAGAGTGAGGAAGCCCTGACAGTCCTTACATTTGGCAAGGTCCTTAGCCAGTGTTAAAGCAGCCCATGTTACTTTGCTTGGGTTCATCAGCTTGAAACACCAACTACGCAGCCACGCTGTGATGGCCAAGCCACAATGGCTCTGCTTCCCTGTGCGCTGTGGGATGGTGCGAACCCCTGCTCTTTAATGGGTTTTTGATTTCCAGCCATGAGGAACCGTGCTGAAATCACCCAGGCTGCAGGTAACACAGAATCCCAGCATGTCAGGAGTTGGAAGGGACCTGGAAAGCTCCCCCAGTGCAAGCCCTGCCACAGCAGGATCACCAGAGCAGTCACACAGGAACACGGCCAGGGCTTTGGGTGTCTGCAGACAAGGAGACTCCACAACCTCTCTGGGCAGCCTGGGCCATGCTCCGAAGGACCAGAACTGTTTCTCCTTCAGCACCAAGAAATCAGTCAGACCTAAAGAGAAAATAGTTCTGCATTCCTCCGTAGCAAAACATCATCCCAAACCTACTGATTTAAAATATACCACAGTTTCAGTACATCCAAATTCCAGTTCCAAGGCCTTTACCCAGAAAAACTCTTAAAATGTACTGGAATTGATAGGATGTTTATAAATTAAGTTAATCCTGTTACTGGACTGGTGCCCAGTTCTGATTGCATGAATACCCCAGTATTTTCCAAATCTTCCTGTTCCCAGACAAGAATGCAGCGTTATAAACCAGCCTCAGACGTGATCTTCCACCATGATTCCTCTGCTCTTTTCTCTCCTGAGAAAGGACTGGGATATAACATTGTGCGGTCAGTATTGCTAAGCTGCTCTGTATGGAAAAGAAGGGCACATTTGAAAGAACTTTCTATAGAAAAGCAAGTTTCAAGTCTCCATAAGAATTATTTTTGATTTATAAAACAATGGACTCGTTTTTCTTGCCTCAGTGCCATAGTAAATGCGTGTATACAACCCACCAAACTGTGCTCAGCTCAGTAGTGCACCCAAAAACCAATGGACTGAGCCCAACCCAGCCTGGCTCTCTCCAAAGCTCACAACAGGAAAGAAACATCAGAACTGTTCTGGGGTTTTTTTGCCCTATGTTCAGACACATACAATTTACTTAAAATAAATTAAAAAAACACAAACCCAAAACTTGTTTGCCAGGCTGGCAATACGCTGTGAGAGCATCAGCACAGACCTAGGGGAAGCAGGGGGGGAAGTTTCCACTCTTTACTGCTGGAAATTTCCACCCTTTAATGCTACCACCATCTAAGTTTGCTGCCTGTGAAGAAATGAAATCCTTCACCCTGTTAAACAATTAAAATGTATTTTAATTCTACAAATTTACAAGGAAAAAATAAACAACAAACCAAAACAAACCCAATGAGAAAAACTAAAAATAAACCAGAAGCGGTTCCAGGATTGTACTTTTTGAGTTTTCCTTGGTCAAATTTTGTAACGCTCCTTGGCTTTCCAGGTGGATTCCAGTCCTCATGGAACGCAGCAGCTGTGCTCCACACCCAGCAAGAGCCTGTGACTCTGAGATGACATCTGACTTCTGCTCTGTGAAAAACATCGTCTCCCTGACATGAAGAACAGAACTGGGGAACTCAGCAAGGACTCACATCAACAGGTTGTTTTTGGTTTCTTTTTTTTTTTACCTCCCCACTCTCTCATGGTGAGTTCAGAACTTGAGGCTGAAGCCAGGCCCCGCAGCAGATGCTCCTTGGTTGGTGGTGGTCAGATGAAAACCCGTGTCCTTCAGATCGTCATCGCCCTGCGAAGACCAAGCACAACTCATTTAGCAGGAAGTGGCTGTGCAGACGCATTTCCTTCTCCAACACAAATCTAAACAGCAGCAACAAAATCAAAGTATGTCTGGGAGATCAGAAACGAAGGTTTGATTTAGTGGCATCATTACTAAGGTCAAGGCAGTGTTGTTCAGTCTTTAAACGTTGCCATTTCAGAGCTTTACTAACGGCAGCCCAAGGGGTTCCTGGTTTGTGTGCCTCCTTGTGACTGCACAGGGGGAGATGAACACATTTGTGAGCACCCTGTAGAAATCAGTGTGAACTCCACCTATTCAGCATCTGATGATCACACTCTGCATGCCCTGCATGCCAGTTTTATCAAGGCTAAACAAACTTCTAGGGTTTGTGTTAAACTGAGCACAGTAACTGTACAGTGCCATTTCATCTGTGCTGAGACATGGAAATAATACTCAGGTGATGCAGTTGAGGTACTGAGACTGTACCATGCCACAGCCAGCTTTTTTTACAAAATGAGGGCAGCACAATCCCCACAGAGAGAACCACCACCAGCCTCCCCTTTTTTTGAATTCTCCTCCAAATAGAGGGAAAAAAAGAGACTGTTTCTATCCCCAGGATCTGCGTAACCTACCAGGCTTTGGATTTTTTTTTTAAATAAATTTGCAGCATTGAAAGTTTAGCTGAAAGTGCAACACAATGTCCACTTTCAAAAGAAAAACCCTTCTGCTCTGTGGTGACACCAGGGCTGTTTTTTGTCTCAGATTCTGTACTGAAATTACAATTCTGTGCCTACACCAGTACCTGGCCTTGCCCTTTGGACAGGGGCAGAGGGGAAGCTGGGCTGAGACGGGGTCTGCTCATGCACAGGTGAGGCTCAGCATCCCAAGCCCCAGACACCACGCAGCCCACGTGAACGTCTCCAGAAATGGGGATAGACCATGAGAAGGGAGGAGCCGCAGTGCTCACCAGCTGGCTGTAGCCAAGGCCTCCCTCGGGCGGGCGGGGGCTGGTGCCACGTTTCACCCTCTGCTGCTCGCTCTTTGCTGGCCAGGTGGGAAACATGGAGGGGTCGATGGGCAGAGGAGTCTCTCGGAAGTACTCGTGCTTCAAACCGTCTTCGGCCGTAATTCTTCTGGCTGGGTAGTACGTCAGGAAGCTGAGGATTTAGGAACATGACATAGAGACACAGGCCTCAGATTTTAAAATTCTTCAGAAGTACAATTGAGAGTTTTCTGATTTTTAACACAGAATCCTATTAATGGCTGTGGTTGCTGACATAACAAAAGTGTACCATGTAAAGCTGGCTGCTTTGAAAAGCGTGCTTCCTACGTGAGCCTGTAATGAATGGCACCACAGCTGGAAGTACGCATCGAGCAGCTTTTGTAGGGATCTCTTTAAAAACTGGAAAGACTGAATATCCCCCTATATAAAAATATATATTTTAAATTTAATTTTTAAAAACAGAGACAAGTTCTAAGTACTATCTGAATATCAGTAATTTCTACTACTTCATGGCATGAAACTTAAAAAGGAATGGGAACAAAAAAATCTCTCAAGCCATTGTCAGCCTTTCAGAGAAAAAAGATTTGGAATGCGCTCAGGCAACCAGAAGGCGCCAGCAGAGTTGGTTAAAAGGCTGCCAGAACATCAGACGTGACAGAACTCAGCTTTGGAAATCTAGGGAAAACCCAAGATTGCCATTTTCCTGATTATTACGATCTCCAGAATGTACTGGGGTTTTTTTCCTTTTTTTCAGTGTTTGTTAATAACAGGATCCATCAGCAGACTGCATGAGAGCTGATAACCACATAAACATGACAGGAACAAGCTAAAACTGCTCCTCAAACATTTTTCTGTTCTTCTAGGACATAGGTGTGCAAGAACAATCCTGGACTGAAGTTCACTGAACAAAGCTGTTGCAAGGAACGGCCCAAACTTCAAACACATCAGCATGTTCTGACAAGGCTGAATGCGCTGAAAACACTACAGGTCATTTTCCACCACTTTCCCAAGGATGCCCTAGGAGCCAGCACTTACTTGTTCATCAGATCAAAGCCCTGGTCGGAGAGGAGCGCTCCGAATCTCTTGCGTAGGTTGTTGTAGGGATACTCTGTGAACGTCATCTTCTTCACTGCTGGCAGCTCGTTGTAACCAGGCCAGATTTTCTCACTTGGAGTACCCAGGTCCTGTAAATTAAAACAGCGTCTTAATAAACTCACTCCAGAGTGTAGCTCTTCTGCTTATTCGTTACGTAGCTGTAGGAGCTGGTAGATACCCAGAGAACATGGACAACAGGCAAATCATGATCTTAGCTCCTATAAGCATTGTAAGCCACTCAGAGTAATGAGCCTTTGATTAAGGCTGAATCTCTGTCAAAGAGCAAAGGCACTTTTTAATTTCTTACTACTCAAATGTACCCACCTCTAAAACCAGTCAGAATGCAAGGGAGTGAAAAATGTTACCTTAAAAACTTTGTTAATCTGGTCAATCTCTGACTTCCCTGGAAACAGCGGTTTCTGTGTTAACAGCTCTCCAAATATACACCCCACTGACCACATGTCTATCGCTGTTGAATATTCCTGGAAAGAAGGGATATAGAATACCCTATAAATCTGTTTGGGTGTGGGAGAGAGAGTGTGTGTGTGTGTGTGTGTGTGTGTGTGTGTGGTTTTCTTTGGGGATGTTTTAAGATTCAATCTCACCACTCCAAACAGAACATACCATCGTTCCACTACCCAAAGCAGAGGTCTCGACTGTATCGATTTAAAAGTTAAAATGACTGTGAATTCTGAGTAGGAACCATGTACAGAAATACTTCAGGATGAAGTGTAAGTCTCCACAATGCTACCTTTCTTGTTCACTCACAAACAGAGCATCACAACCAGCAATGCATGCTGACATGCACTCTTCACAGCGATCCTTAGCCCTCACTTTGCCACAGCAGCAATCTCAGGTTATGGCACAAACCCTGGTCTCCATGCTACATCTCTATAACGTAGCCACTTCTCCTTGTACAAAAACAGCTCTAAAAGACAGCACAGGGCTTCTTTTATTTTTACACCCATGTTTTTGGTAGGAGTGAAGTATTTCTTTCCTGGCATACTCGTCCTTTGTACAGAAATGATAAAATAAAGCGAGTCTGAAGTCATTCCTCTCGCAGCCAGAGGAACAAGAACCCTACCTTAGCGCCAAGCAGCAACTCTGGAGCCCTGTACCAAAGTGTCACCACCACTGGTGTGTAAGGCTTCAGTGGAGAGCCGTATTCTCGGGCCAG